CAGTTGCAGAGACTGTACATTTTCTTCTTGACTGTATCTTATCTGCAAATGCATTGTCCTAATAATTACAAGTTGAATCTATACTTACATAGTTAAGTACCATTGGTTATTTATATTTCTCTCACTACTTATACATCTCTCTTATATTTCTCTTTCTAGATATGCTAAAAATCATAAAAGGAAAGATTATCAATGAACATCTGGCTTTAGTTACAATGAATTCATTACCCAGTGTTCCTTCTTTCAAAAGATTTTGAAAATATATGCGTCAGTTAAATTCAAATATTTAAGACCAGCTTAGTTATCGATTTTTAAGACCAACTTAGAAAGATGTCTGCATAAGGATAATGATGAAGACATCTGGAACGCTTGTCATTACAGTTCTTTTGTTTATTGTTCAGGCTTTTGGTGTGTGCCAGTAATTTTTTTGTTGCATTTTTCTAGATGGCATGTATTCTTGTATCAATGTGTGTTCCTAGTTTTTATTATATTATTAGTGCTAGATTCCCATGTCCTACATTGGTGCCTAATACATATTAGTTGCCCAATAAAAATTATCAAATGAATTCTAGTTTATTGAATCCTAAGGTCTCTTGGAGCGTCTCATCTGTGTGTGATTTTGAAGACTAAAAAAAAGTTGATTGTTAGTAGAGTTAGTAGAGTATTAGTTTGAATATATTATCTTTTAAAAATATCAGTTCAACACACTAATTTCACCTGTGCAAATAAAATATATGGATGGTATTAAAACATGTTTTGTAATGTTTAGAAGATACAGTTTATTTAAGGGACATGCTTGATTACCTCTGATTATTTATTACAGAAAGAGCCAAGTACTGTACTAATAACTTAACATGACATTATCTTGTGTGATGGTTAGAGCAATGTTTTGAGGAATATTCTCTTACTCTCCTTTCCTAAAGATGAGATAATTCAGGTCAGGTAGTGTTTTCCAGGTAATTATATATATATACATGTATAGATATAGATACGTATGTAAGTATGTAGATATGGCATATGCACACATTTATAAATTTATGATAACAGATATAAGTGTATAGGATGGTTATGGTGAAATAATAAGTCTGATGAAATCTCTAAGGACGGAATACATTTTTTAACCTAGATGTACTTATAAATTAGAGAAGTGTGTGTGTGTGTGTGTGTGCGCGCGCGCGTGTGTGTGTAATTAATTGGTATTATAACTGGGAACAGAAAGTTCATGGCATGATCAGATGTTTTTCTCATGTTTTTGAAGAAGCATTGAAGGGTTCTGAGCAACATAATGGCAGGATTTGATTAATATTAGAGGATATTAATTTGTCTCAAAAATAGATGATAAATTAGAGATAGGGATAACGAAGGAAGATTTACAATAATCTGGCAAGAGATGATGACTGGCCCAGACAAATCCTGGACCTAGTCCTTACACCCCTTTGCAAGTTATTCCTTGAAGGGGTGACAATGAGTGTTGAATTTGGAGTGATTTTTTTTGTTTTTGGTACGGGGATTGAACTCGGGTCCTTGCGCTTGCAAGGCAGGCCACCGAACCACTGAGCTAAATCCCTGGCGCTTGGAGTGAATTTTGAAAGTAGAATGAACAGTATTTTCTGGATGATTGGGTTATATGGAGAGGGTGGAGAGAAGAACAGAGAGAAGAAAAAGTTGATTCCAAGTTTTTGGCTAGGGGAGAGAAGCAGTTCTGAGAAGGAAGGCCTGACAAAGGTTTGTGTTTGGCCATTTTAAGTTTTAGACTTCTAAATGAATTTGGTCTGTTAATGAAGGCTAGAAATGGACGTATATCAGATGAGCTGTAAATGTGAGAATCATTAATACAGACTTGACTAAAACATGAGATTGAATGAGAACGCTGAAGAGTGGCTTAAATCTATGGAGTTTTGAGATACTCCATAGTTAAGAGTTGGAAGGTGAGAATTAGGAGGAGAAAAAATATGGGACCTGAGGAAAAGAAGGAGCTGGTGAGACAGGAGAATCAAGAGAGGCATCCTAAAAGTCAGGGACAAAACATATTATCAAAAAAAGGAGGGAGAGGTCAGATGCAGCAGAGTTTTCAGATAGATTATAGGGTGTAAAATTGAGAAATGACCACAGGATATGTTGTTGAAACTGTCAAAAGCCTGATTAGAAAAATAATACTTAAACAAGAATATTTTGAAACCACAGACTTAGAAAATATCTGAATTATCTCAATTTATGATTCTCATGTAGGCAAAGTACTTTCCAGTTGCTATATAAATTTGGGTGTATTATCCTGTGCTGTTAATATTCAAATAGTTGAGTTGTATAAATGTTGATTTCCATTCTTTTGCCTGTCAACATTTAATTATCCAACTTTAATTTACGTTTCTTCTACAGTATTGTTTTATAAGTCGAAAACCTAAGTAAGTTGCCATGTAAAGCTTTAAACAGTTTTTACTTAATGTCCGTCCTGCTTTTGATAGGCTGTATAAGATGAAAAGGGCATGAATGAACTGTGTAGACAGACCCAGTTTTCAGGGCAGACTTTACCAGTTAGTTACTGGTATAAATTGTGCAATCTTGAGCAAGGAGTTAAATTCCTCCAGGTCTGTTTCCTTATAGGGAGGATGACAGGTAATAACTTTTTTATATATTATTAAGAAGATACAATGGGAAAACATATGTGAACTCTATAAATCAAATATTCAGCAAATAATAAAATAATATGGCTATTAGGAGCTCAGGTTCTGAATTAAGTAAATCTAAGTTCAAATCCTAGAGTGAGTATGTAGTTCCTTGGAAAACTTAAGCAAGTTTCATCACCTCTCTTAAGCCTAAATTGCTTTATCTATAAAATGGCTGTAACAGAAAAATCTACTTTATAGGGTTACTAGAATTAAATGAGATGTTGTATTTATCATCCTTGTTTTAATTATTTAAAAAATAAAACCTTAGTCCTACATTTTTATATCTTGAGTCTTAGCTCTAATCATACTTCATGAGAAGTATAATTTATAGTGTTTGTATTTATTTGCTGCGTGCTTGGCTTTTAAAATTATTATTTCACTATTATCCATTATTAATGTTGAAAATTATATAGGATTAGCAACCAGATTGATTATCATTTTTTAAATTATCCTGGTCTCTGTATAGGACCAATCTAAATGGAAAGTCAGAAAGAAAAAAAAACAACAACAACTATATAGTATGATTCTTTTGTAAAAGTATTTTTGTTAATACCCATTAATTTGACAGAAAATTGGGTTTCAATGTGGTGTTTTCATACCTGCCTACATTTTTATATACCCATCTCTTACATTCCTGTGTCTCACTTCCCTTTTCTCCTGCCTACTACCAGTCTCCCTTCTACTTTTATGTCATCTTTTTTTTTTATTCCACATATTAATGAAAATATGTGATATTTGTCTTTCTGAATCTGGCTTATTTCACCACACATGGTGAAAATTAGTTGTATATGATAGAATTCTTTAGTAGTCATGTGAATGCGTCAGAATCGGCTCTTTTAGCCAGTTTACCCTAGGCTGTGCCTAAATAATACATCTCACCATCCCTACAAATGAGGAGCCATGCTATGAATTATGGTGAAATTAAAGATGGAAACAGAGATGATTTAGATTATGAGACAAAGAAGAGACTTTATGTGAAAATGCCAAGACAGGATTGATGATACAAAATAGAATTTTCTTCAAGAAGACCTTAGGAATCATCTCATTTCCTGATTTTATGGTTGAGAGAATACTGAATTTATGAGAGATTTCATGCCTTACTCAAAGTTAAAAGTCAGTAAGGAATAATTTTCTGACATCTAATTAAATAATCTTTTATTTTTAACACATTACTTCAGTTTCACTTATAGTCAGAATTGAAAACAAGAAAAATATTGAATGAAGGAAAATGTTGGAAGGATCGCTGGCCTCACAATATAATTATTCATTCTAAGTGACATAAAAATTAAAGATTTTGATTTATAAGGTACTATGTTTCTTCTGCAGTATTGTTTTATAAGTGGAAAACCTAAGTAAGAACTTTTATTTAAAACAACTCCGGGGCCGGGGATTTTGCTCAGTGGTTTCACTGCCTGCCTCACAAGTGCGAGGGCCTGAGTTTGATCCCCAGTACCAAAAACAAAAATAAAAATAAAAAAGCAACTGCATACCAACTAATGCAACTAATTTTCAAATGGAAGTTACTGGCAGGAATACTGTTGGAGTTTAGAAGCAGAATATCTGAGCGGGAGACTTGGGCCAGCTTTTCTCCTGGCAGTATCGAATGTGGTCCCTTGCTATTCTTCCTGGTTGTCAAACTAGATTGTGTATTTTTAAATAGGGTAAAAATAATTTGAATAATTTCATTTTGAAAAGAAATATTCTATTGAAATTACATTTTTATAAAGGTAATTCTGTATTTTAAAAACTTTGGTATTATAAAAAGAGAGTTATTTGACATATGACCATGTTTTACTTATTTTAAAAGATGAAGAATCAAAGATTATTTGGTCTGATTTGTACCTTGTACCATCAGTTACATTTTTGCAGTAATCGCTGCAGAAATCATTACATTGTGTGTCTCTTGTTTGTGGTAAATTTTTGTCATGTAAATTTACTTTGTTTTGTTGTTGTTGTTTTGTCTTGGGGATTGAACCCAGGACCTCACGCTTGCCAGGCAGGTGCTGTGCCGCTGAGCTACATCCCGAGCCCACTATTTTGGTTTTTGTTTTGTTTTGTTTTGTTTTTCAGTTTCAGAAACACTTTTTATTGAGCTTTTATAATATGTGCAATAATGTGATGACTTATGTATTTATAATTGATATTAAGTTGCTCTCTCCATTTTAAAGACATCAATCAATAATTTCATGCATTTCTAATGATTGTATTATAAGAATTCTCAATGGGAACTTAAGTACTGTAATAGATGGTTCTACTGCTTCATTACATAAAGGTGCAAAATAATTATGTCCTTTTCTCAGATACTAAATTTTCTTTCTTTGTCTTGTTTTATAGAGCTACATTCATGGGAGCAGCCAGGCTCAATTTGTGGCAGAATCACACATTATTCTGGTACTGAATATCCTTTAAAAGAACTGATTAATTGAAAAGGAGAAACTAAAGCTACATGCTATCGAACTGATTTTCTCCCCTGGTGATAAATATCAAGTTATTAAAAAGAGATTAAATTTTAAACTTTAGTACTAATTTCCTAATTCTCATGCTAATCATTTCCTATCTCGGTATAATTTCATTGTTACGCTGAATCATTAAGTGACACTAATTTTCTGTTTTATACTGACTATTGAATTTAAAAGTATTGCTTTTTCTTAGGGTCACTAATTATCTCTGCCTAGATTTTTTTGTGTGCGTTTAAGATGATTTCCTCTACAGAATTAAATAGGGAGGGGAAAATTGCCCTGTGATATAAATAGGAACATAAAAAAATTGTCTTCTCTCTTCTGTGTGGAGTCAGAAACAGCACAAGTAAAACATCTAGTACTCAGGAAAGGTCCATTGGGTTAAACCTCTGTTCGTTCTCCACTCAGCACTTTACTGCTTAGCCATAGTGTGCATGATACATATTTATTGACTTATTCTTTAGTGTTTCACAAAGGTATAGATAACAAAAAATTATATTTCTGTGTATCTGAATTATAATACAGGATATTTTTTTTCTCATTGAGTTTATTGGTACATTTTAGGTATACGGTACAGTTACATTCATCATTGGGATCTTGTACCTTTACATGACAGGTCTTTGTTCTCATTTTTTCCCTTTACCCCTGCCCTCCCTTCACCCCCTCCTCCTTTCCTTATTTACAGGATATTTTTAAATGATTTACTTTTCCACAGTAAGGTGAGTTGAACCCTTTCATTCCTGTTAATTTTTTTTTTTTATTTAGCTGTGTCTATGAAGCAAAAAACATTAATGTTAAAACAAATGTTAAAAAATAACAAGTATTTGTTACAGGTAAATTGTTTTTAATTCTTATTTATTTTTATATGGTAGCTTCTTGATTTCCTAATTTGTCTTAGTCATGGTGTAGGAATTTTACAGTGTGCTTTACTCAAAGTAGCAAATCTGTAAGCACATTAGGAAGATAAGCACAGAGAAACAGCACGAAAAGACCACTATTCCATTGTAGGCAGAAATGCTCCAATGCATGAACAAGCTGAGATTTAGGACTCAGAGACATTTCACAAGCAGTATGAAATAGCATAGATTTTAGCAGTAATACATAAAATATTTGAAATGCTTATTTATATGCTAACAGAAATTATTTCTTCACATATCCCATGAATTTTTATTTTAGAGAAGTAAAAAATACTTATCACAGACTTTATTATCAGTAAAAATTTTTTAAAAGACATTTTATAATACTTTCTTATTTTTCACTTGGCAGATTTCACTAATATTTTTTGAACTTACACACTTTTTAAACTTTGTGTGTTTTTCCTTTTATTCAAAGAAAGGGTAGACAATGAACAATCACTTTTGTGTTATATGTAGAGAATGTTTCTGCCTTCTTTTGCTCATTCTAATTCAGTGAATCAAATCCTCAGATGCAGTTGCTCTGTACAAACTTGTTTAAAAAAAAACGAAAAAACAGATGAAATTGTTTGGTGTCCTAGGTTGTAGATTCATATTTATAATGAGTAAGGTTTTATCCATATCAGAAATGTTTTGAGAAATCTTATTAAGGAAAAAGGGAAATAGTCTAAGTATTTGAATAAGGTATTTGATGTTTGCAGAAAGTAAGGTTGATAGAAAAATATTTATAATCCAGTGTGACAAATATTAAAATTGCTGCATGCAAATTAAGCAGCAAGAGATGAACAAATTGGTGCCCAAGGAAGTTGAACTGACTTTTCAGCTGGGATTTGAAATGTAAAAAAGGAAGTTCACAAACAGGCTAAGAGAGAGTAATCTGACAGGAGGTAGAGCAGGCTCTTAAGAGTGTATATTAGAAGTTAGCTGCCTTATTCTTTATGAAGCATTCTAAGGTTGAGCACTGGATATCTTAATAAATTTGGCTGTACAAAGGAAAATAATGGTGTACATATCTGGTTTTTTATTTAAGCAGTGAGAGTCAATAGAGATTTGCTGAAGTAGTAATATTAAGGTTCAAGTGGAGAGGGAAGAACAGATGAAGTGAGAGGCACTGACAGTTTTGTGGCTATAAAGGAGAAACTTAAATTAAGGTAATGTATGAGTGACTCACTTGGCTGCTGAAGAGGAAGAATTAATCAAAACTCGATAACTGATCCTACTGAGGTTGAAAGATCAGGGTCAGATAACTTTGGAATTCAGGTAATGTGTTGGTAGGTAGCTTAATATTAACAAAATCAAGATGTACCAGTGGAGGGCCAGGGATTTGGCTCAGTGGTTCCGTCACCTGCCTCACAAGTGCAAAGGCCTGAGTTTGATCCGTGGTAAAAAAAAAAAAGATGTTCCAGGGGAAAAGAAGGTTTGGAGAAAAAAATGTTTAGCCTAACAAGATTCCTAAGATTGCTATGCCTTATGCATACTTTATTGGTAAAGAGTTCAGTTTGCTTAAAGTACGTACTTAAGAGCACAAAGCCAACCAGCAGAAGAGTCAAGAACTTAAAATTTTTCAACCCATTTTTATTCTACTCAGTAATAAACCTCTATGGTGAATAGTCCAGAAGTGTTTAACAAAATTATACAGTAAGTAAATGTGTTAGCATTTCCAAAAAGACATTTTCAATAAAGATACAGTGAGTAAAAGATGTGTTTGTTGTTAAGACTAATGCTTAAAATCAGCCCCTCAAAATCTAAAGATTCCACATCAAACTATGGCATAACAAACAGGTTCTCTTCTGACATTAGACTGATGGGTGTCGCTATCTAGCTGTGCCTTACTGAAATGTCCTGATACTAAAAGAGAATAAAAGATGAGTCTCCAACCTCCCAACCTCCGTACTCACTTGTAGTCCAGTCTATGAACTAGTTTGCACATCTCTATCAATATCATAACGATACATACTTCAACTCTTATGCATACTCCAGTTTCTTTACTGATCCTATAACTAGTTTTCTTGCTGCTTAAAAAGTCAAAATATGAAATGATCCCACATAAAATAAGCTATTTGTGTAAATTACATGCAATACTCATAGGCATTGAACATCCTACAGAACTAGTAACATACATTTATATTAATTCTCAGTTGCACATGATGATAAATTTGCTGTTGCTTCTTGAAAGATAATCAGGATCTTATCAATTTAAAGATAAATGAAGACAAGTTAATATTACTAACATTTTATAGAAGACTGAATGAAATCTAAAACAAAATTATCTTCACCTTGCATCCACCATTAATTTTCTTTTATAGCATATTTTTCCTTGAATACAAACATTTGTTCTCTATTACAGATCAGAAAGAGTAAAATTCTTTCCTAATAAGTAGAAAGCAATGTTATATTTATAAAAAGTCTTTTACTTGAAAATATCTTAAACTTGTTGCTAGTTATAACCTTTGCTTCTATATCAACACTTTTATTTCGAACTGACACTTATTTATCATCTTCTTCCGATCCCAGAATTGAAGGGATATGGAGAATTAAGACACTATGGCAAGTGAAAACTGACACGTGTGACATTAAGGTCGATTCTAGTGTAATGTGTGCTGTATCCACTGGCACACCAGTCCCCCTAGTAAATTCAGGGGGACCATTCCTGTCTACTGCAAGAAGGAAATCATCATAATTTTGTCTGGTTTGAATTTTAAATAGAGTTGTAAATGACATTAACTGTCCCATATCCCACCACTTTGCTTGCTTATTGGTAGAAATAATTGCAGAATAATTAAGATAGTAAGATAATACTTTTTGCAAATATTCCTCAAAAATGTAAAATTATTATGCTTTTTTTTAATGAAGATGAATCATTACTTGGCAATTACATATCTATTTTATTTGCCATGTTTGTAGGTGAATTTAGAAAAGCAGATTTCAAGGTATTTCATGAAGACACGCATAAATTCTTGAATTTTAAGAAGATTCTAAAACCCACTTCATTTCATACCTTAATCTTAGCATGTGATCTATACAAATTTTGGAGAAATTCTTTTATATATAACATCATAAACAATTTCATATATAGGGTCATTCAACAAATTACGGTTTTATTAGTCTTTTTTTTT